TCGTGTGGCTGAAATAATTCTATGTCATGTATTGTTTGAGGTAGATTTCCTGCAGTTGTAATAGATGTCGCTGTACGCTTTTCATAATAGCAATGACCTTATTGCTTTGGAGCCTCCATGTCAGGTCAGTGATAACTACCATAGTCTACAAAAAGAATGACACACACCTGTTAAAGGGACACTCAATATTTAAAGCAATATTTTGAAAACTTGTAATCTATTTTTTTTAGAAATTCCATCTAAAATAAATTGGTATGATGTTATTGTAAAATCTGTTTGAATGCATACATTATATGTTTGACAATATATTGGAATGTGAGTTTTCAAACTCGTGTAGTTATATAGGCGAATCCATGAAGCGTGTGAATTTGAAAGTCTCAGTATTTCATCAAACGAGCACTGCTGGTATGTTTTCTGGCAAACAGGAATTTCATTTTATGCAGAATGAAGACTATATGTGCAAAATTGAAAGGAATTGTTTAATACAGCTATGTTTTCACCAAATTATTTAAACACGATCAACAATATTAAAATTGCATAAACATGACCTCCAGTTATCATAACACTGTGCAGTGGCACCTGTTATCAATATTTTAGGGTTAATGTCCTATTTGTGAGAATTTTAAGGGTTTTTTTTTGTCGTCAGTGATTGCTGTGGCTAGTGGTAAATCACAAGAAAAGACTCAATTTGAGCATGTAGGGGAGCGTTCTTCGGTCAAAATTAAATACTTTGGACTTTAGTCACCTTTTTAAAAAAAAAAAAAAAAACATGCCAAAACATGAATTCAGTGAGTGGTGTGACCAGCTGCAGTGTCAACCATTTGTTTGCTGCATATGTATTATAATAATTAACATTTACGTGTGTATATGACGTACACCAACTTGTTTACGAGTTTACCTAATTGATCGTCCATCAGTTTGATAATTGTTATTGATTCGTATTACTGCTATACAATGCCTGTTAAGTGATCACCTCGGAATAGGAATATTTGCAAACCCGATAAACTAATCATACGAATCCTAGTGTGTTGTTATTCATCTTAAAGTGAAGTAAATGTGCAGACAGACTGGTTCTCCCCAGAGGCGGCGGCACGAAATTTTGCATGGCGCGAGATCTGTT